TTTGTACGAAACCGGCCGGTTTTTGCCCAGTATATCCAGGGCTGGATGGCCTGAATTCCTAGAGCGTCAGAATAGGATTCGCGTGCGCGTCGTTTGAGGCTACTCAAAGTGCTGGGATACAGGCACTGAGCCTGGCCCGGACACCTGTACGGTACGAACTTCAGCCATCGACTCCCAATTAAGCCCCATCTAAAATGCGAGCTCTTTGGTGAAGCGCCGGACTTCGCCTGCTTTAATGTAACTTTCCAACACCCTCATTCATCTTCCTCAAACCCAGGATGAGCGGCACGACTCTCACCCACTACTTCCAATGACGACTTCTTTCGCACACTTGGCCCCCACCTACTCCATTTCTATGGCCACCCACCATAATTCAGACCTTTGTTCATCCATAAAATTAGCATTCCTAACAAGCAATATTCTTCCCTGTCCTCTATTTTTTTTTTCTCTGGGATCCTTTAGCCCATGTGAGGTCAGTCAATTCTTCCTCCAAAACCCATCTGGCCGTGTCACAAAAGCCTCTGCATTGGCCAGGCAACAGTGGGTCATGCCATCTGTAATTCCAGCCTTTGGGTGGAGGCTGACTCGGCAGATCACTGAGGTCAAGAATTCGAGCACCAGCCTGGCCAACTTATGACAAATCCCTGTCTCTTGCTAAAAATACAAAAGTCTAGCCCAGGTGTGGTTGGTGCATGCCTGTAACCCCCCCGCTACTCGGGCGTGAAGGCTGGAGCAGGAGAATCAGCCATGAACCCAGAGGCGGAGGGTTGCAGTGAGCCGAAAAATCACGCCACTGGCGGACTTCCGAGCCTGGGGAAACAGAGTGAGCGCTCCATCTCAAAAAAAAAAAAACAAAACAAAAAACACTTTGCCCTTGGTTCCCAGAAAATGATAATACAACATCATTAGGACCAGCCACAATCTAGTTCTTTCCCAATTCTGCTGTTTCCAGCTGCTAACTAAAAGTCATTTCAACTCTCTCAAATTCACTGATTGTCACTCTCAGCCAGTCACATGCTGCGACAAAAAAAAAAGGCACAGAGATAAAGAGGTACCAGGCTCCGAGGTGCCTTTAGTTCTATTTTACAAAGAGTAAAATAATCTACCAGAGTATGCAGTCGAGTGGATAAGGACACTGCTTGTCCTAATGTCCCTTCCAAAATAATATGAGTCTATTTACTTCCCCCTGAATACTGGCCTATTGCTTATTTTTTCCCTCCAGGTTATTTATTTGGCCCTTTTTCTCCCCTTTCCTGTCTAAACACTTTCTATTGTTAAATATCCAGGTCCTAGTGGCCCTCCCTTGACAATTCCCGATTCCCCAGGCCAAAGGATCTCCCCTCCTCTGAATTAAAAAGTCCATTGAAAAACACCATACTTCTATTCTTGCAGCATGTCTCAGTTTATCTGCTTTGTGTGTGTGCGCTTCTGGAGACAGAATTTCGCTCGTCACCCAGGCTGCAGTGCAATGGCACACTCTCAGCTCACAGCAACTCTCCATCTCCCAGGTTCAAGCAATCTCCTGCCCTCAGTCTCCCAAGTATGCTGGGACTACAGAGGCCAATGGCCACCATGCCGGCTACTTTTTGCATTTTAGTACAGATGGGTTTCGCCATGTTGGCCAGACTGCGTCTCAAACTCATGACCTTCAGGTGATTCACCCGCCTCCGCCTCCCAAGTGCTGGGATACAGGCGTGAGTCACGCACGCACCTGGCCGCTTTTTTTTTTTTTTTTTTTTTTTTTTAAGACAGTCTTTCTCTGTTGCCCAAGCTGGAGTGCAGTTGAGGTGATGAGTGATCTCGGTCTATGCCAACCTCCACCTCTGGGGTTCAAAGCCGAATTCTCCTGCCCTCAGCCTCAGAGTTAGTTGGGGCTACAGGTGTGCACCACCATGCTGGCCTACATTTTTATAAGTTTAGTAGAGAAAGGGGGTTTCACCATTTTTGGCTCAGGTTAGTCTCGAACTCCTGGCCGTCAAGTAATACGCATTTCAGCTGGCCCAAAGTGGCTGCGGTATTACAAGGCATGAGATCAGCCTTGCTGGCGCGGTGTTTTTTTTACTTTAAAAATATACAGCAAAAGGGCCAGGCGCCGGTGGTGGCTCGCCTGTATCCCAGGTCTTTGGGGACGGCTGAAATGGGTGGGTGGATCACGAGGTCAGGAGTTCGAGACCAGTCTGATCAACATGGTGAAACCCCGTCTGTACTAAAAACACAAAAAATTAGCCAGGTGTGATGGCGCGCTAATCTCAGCTACTCAGGAGAATAAGGCAGGAGAACTGCTTGAAACTGGGAGGCAGAGGCTGCAGTGAGCAGAGATTGTGCACTGCACTCCAGCCTGGATGACAAAGACTATCTCAAAAAAATAAAAATTAACATTAAAAAAATCTATTATATATACATATAGAGAGAGAGATGGAGGGTCTCACTATGTTGCCCAGGTTAGTCTCACACTTCTGGCCTCAAGCAATCCTCCCGCCTTGGCCTCCCGAAGTGCTAGGATTACAGGCATGACCCACTATATGGGGCCACATCTCAGCTTTGGAAGGTCCTCTCTCACACAGCGCCTACCCCCATCCCAATCCTGGGTTAAACGTACCTCCTCTGCGTCCCTACAGCACTTCACACTTCTATTGTTGTTCATTTGTGCTGCTTGCAATTTACTTGTCTCTCCCACTAGACTGAGCTCCCTAAAGGCAAAGAATGTGTAGATCCTGTTCACAGCAGAACACTCAGCTCCCAAATTGGGCTGGCGTATCTTTTTTGAAAATTTTTTTTCTTTTAAAAATGAAATATAGAGATTGGGTCTTGCTATGTTGGGATTACAGGCGTGAGCCACTGCCCCCAGCCAGGTTGGCATATCTTAGCAGTTCAATAAAGAAGCGGAAGAGAGGAAGGAGAGTACAACAGTCGCCATAAACTCTCTTGTATTGATACTTTTTTTTTCCCCCCCAAGACAGAGTTTTGCTCTTGTTGCCCAGGCTGGAGTGCATTGGCGCAATCTTGGCCTCTGCCTCCCAGGTTCAAGCGATTCTCTTGCCTCAGTCTCCCAAGTAACTGAAATTACAGGCGTACGCCACGACGCCCGGCGAATTTTTTGTATTTTTTGTATGAATTTTTTGTACGAACCCAAGGGTCTCTGCAACTTGGGGGACGACGGCCCGGATCTGAGGAGATGACCCCTTCCTCCCACCCCGCCCAAGGACTCTCAGCCTCCCCAGCCCGTGCCTTTCCGGAGCTCAGAGCCCCCGCTGGTCTCCAGGGGCGGAAGGGATGGGTTTGGGTGAGGACAGGGTCTCGGGTCTGGGACTCACTCCACCTCCCGGGCTGCGCGACTCTGGCCAGGTTCCCTGTCCGAGCCTCTCTGCCTGGGACCCCACCTGGAAAAATGGCTCCTCTAAGTCGCTTCCAGCCTAAAGCCCGTCCTCTTCTACCTCTTGGGTGCGGACTGCCCCTCCCACTCCGACCACAGGTCCCCCACCGGCCACGCTATGACCCAGCCAAACACCAGGGTTGCCAGGGTCGTCCCGGAACCTTCCTTTCCGACTCCCGGAAGTGGCCGTGATCTCACGAAATCCCGGCGGTGAGCGCGACCGGAAGTCCGGTCACTCTCGCGAGGCCCCACGGAGCAGAGCCGGGACCGCTGCGGAGTGTGGAGGTCGTTGGAGTCACTTGCCTGTCAGCAGCAGCTCCTGTGTCTGCCCGTCGGCGCCCCTCCCGCTCCAGCCATGCTTTCCGCCCTCGCCCGGCCTGCCAGCGCTGCTCTCCGCCGCAGCTTCAGCACCTCGGCCCAGGTAGGCCCGACGAGGGGCGGCTTGCAGGCGGAGCACCACCCCCCCCCCGGCCCGGGCCACGTGCGTCCCCGGTTCGCGAGCAGCTCTGACCCTCTCCAGGCCAGCCTGGACCGCAGGGCTGCCCGGCACTGGCTGGAGATTGTGGCGCCCGGGGCAGGCCCTGACACTGGCCTGGAGATGCGGGGGAGAAAGCCGGGGAGAAGGGGGCGAGGTAGTCCCGCTCCAGGGCCGGTCCATTTATTTGGCAGGGCTCCCCCCAGGTCTCCCAGATTCCCCAGAGGGCCTGCACGCCTTCAAGGTTAGGAAACCGGGGCTCTGGATCTGAAAGTAAACTTACGTTTTTTCCTGCAGTTTTTCATTGGTTTAATATAGCTAATCTCCTTCTTGCAGCATCCGTGTGAGTTGTGCGTGAATAAAAGAAATCGTATAATTTCTGACTCCATAGTATGGGCAAACCGAGGCTAGAGAACTGGGCCAGGGTTACACAGTCATCTGGCTAGAGGATTAGAATTCAGCGCTTCTGACCTGAAGACGGCTTCCTCTGGAGGATCTCTCCTGCTGTGGGCGGACTGAGCCTGCCGCCAGGTGTCTTAACACAGTGCTTGACTTGGCCAGCGACCACTTAAGCCTAGGCTATTTTTAGCCATCTTCTAGAACGGTGGTTCTTAAACTCTGCTGTGTGTCAGAATCACCGGAAAGCTAATAAAAAACAGAGGCCTGGTCTCATTGAAGAAGCATAAGACCGGGGTTTCCGCATTTTTACCAAGTGAATCTAATTAAACCTAAGTTTGAGAACCCAGGAGGTGCCCGCATTGCCTTTTAATTACGACACCCAGGAGGGAGGTAATTTTAAAGGGGAATCCAAATTTATCATTGAACTTCTCTCCTCCGGTTTCCTTTATTGAAAAATAAATACAAATGCTCCTGGATTGATGGCTGTTTCCCGTACCCATCGCAAGTTGATAATATTCTAAGTCAAAAGGCGAGTTTAGCTTTGTATATTTTCAACTCGCATTGGCTTCCCACACGCGACCCCATCGTAAGTTGAATGTACCAAATGCTTTTGAGCTGTGGTAAAGTAGGGGCCCAGCTGTATACAGATAAGTCCATTAAGTTCCTGTGCTTGCCAACGACTATGCTGGGTGCTGCAGGGGATACCAAATTAAGTGAGAAGTGGTACTTGGGACAGAAACGAGTAGGACAGGTGGAGGTGATGAAGGTCTTAGGGAATGAGTAGACTTAGGACAGGTGGAGGCGATGAAGGTCTTAGGGAATGAGTAGACTTAGGACAGGTGGAGGCGATGAAGGTCTTAGGGAATGAGTAGACTTAGGACAGGTGGAGGCGATGAAGGTCTTAGGGAATGAGTAGACTTAGGACAGGTGGAGGCGATGAAGGTCTTAGGGAATGAGTAAATTTAGGATAGGTGGAGGCGATGAAGGTCTTAGGGAATGAGTGAGCTTAGAACAGGAGGCGATGAGGTGTGGGGGAGGGGCAGCCAACCAAAGGTAGGACAGGGAAGAGTGATGTGCCGGGAGAGGTTGAGTTTTGGTAGGACCTTCAGATATGTGACATATTTATTAAGCTAGGTACTGGAAATACATCGGTGAACAAAACAGAAGTCCCCGCTCATGGAAATTACTAGATATTTTACTTATTGCCCCACTATAAGGTATCTTAAAATAGTGATGAACATACAGGAAAAATGGGGATTGTAGGGTGCTTGTGTTAGGGAAGAGGGTACCAATTTTATTTATTTATTTATTTATTTTTTTGAGGCAGAGTCTCTCTGTTGCCAGACTGGAATGCAGTGGCATGATCTCAGCTCACTGTAACCTCTGCCTCCCAGGTTCAAGCGATTCTGCTACCTCAGCCTCCCGAGTAGTTGGAACTACAGGCGTGCGCCACCACACCTCGCTAATTTTTGTATTTTTAGTAGAGATGGGGTTTCACCATGTTGGCCAGGATGGTCCCGACAGAGTCTCTGTCTTCTACGCTGGAGTGCAGTGGGCGCCATCTCGGCTCACTGCAACTAATTCCTGGGCTCAAGTGATCCTCCTGCCTCTGGCCGGGCTGGTCTCCTCCTTGGCCTCCCAGAGTGCTAGGATTACAGGCATGGGCCACCACTCCCAACCAAGGGTAGCAATTTTACATCAGCCAGGGTAGGCTACACGCAGAATGAGATGTTTGAGTAGAAGTCTGAAGGAAGCAGAGATCACACCATATGGAAAGAGTATTCCAGGTACGGGATACGTCTCAGGACGTAGCTGAGAGCCCTTGGAGAAGCATGGGGCATGCCTCTAAGGTTTGAGAACATGAGGCTAGGGTAGTTCAGAGAAAGCATTGGAGGTAACAGAACAGGCCTTGTAAAATTTTTGTTTTTTTCTCAGAAATAGGGTGGCCATTTGAGGGTTTTCAGCTGCGTAATGACTTGCTCTTCCTTCCAATTAACAAGATGGTCTTAGAAGCGAGAAAAAGGTGAATTAGGAGTTCATTGTGGTCATCTAGGTGCAGGTGGTAAGAAATGGTTGCATTCTGGGTGTTTGTTGATGGTACCAGAAGGGTTTGCTGATCTGTGATTGGATAAGGGTCATGGATGACACCAAGGTATGGGGCCTTGGAGTTGAGCTGAAATAGATAGGCAAGACTTATGGAAGAGAGTGGGTTTAGGCAGGGAGAAGATATCAGGAGCTCAGTTTTATTTATTCATTTACTTATTGAGACAGAGTCTCGCTCTGTCACCCAGACTGGAGTACAGTGATGTGATCTCGGCTCACTGTAGCCTCTGCTTCCTGGGCTCAAGTGATTCTCTCACCTCAGCCTCCCCAGTAGCTCGGATTACAGGTGCTGCCACCATGCCCAACTAATTTTTTTTGTATTTTTAGTAGAGATGGGGTTTCACCATGTTGGCCGGGTTGGTCTCCAACTCCTAACCTCAAGTGATCCACTTACCTCGGCCTCCCAAAGTGCTGGGATTACAGGTGTGAGCCACCGCACCCAGCTGGGAGCTGAGTTTTAGATATGTTCATTTTAAAAATGCCTGTTGGTCATACAAGCAACGTTTTTGAGAGGGCAGCTGATGAAAGCAGAAAGAAAGATGGACTCGAGCCCATGGTGCAGTGGTCTCCAGACTTTGGATCTTGTTTTTTTTGTTGTTGTTGTTTTTTTTTTTTTTTGAGACGGAGTTCTGCTCTTGTTGCCCAGGCTGGAGTGCAGTGGTGCGATCTCGGCTCACCTCCGCTTCCTGGGTTCAAGCCATTCTCCTGCCTCAGCCTCCTGAGTAGCTGGGATTACAGGCAGGCACCACCACGCCTGGCTAATTTT